CCCTCCCCCACTCTAACTTGAGATCATTGCTCCCTGTTCTGTCATCTGAGAACAGCCTCTCTCCATCCTCTCTGGAACCTCCCTTCAGGACGTTGAAAGCTGCTATCAAATCAAGCCTCAGTCTTCTCTTCTGCAGACTAAACTAGTCCAAATCCCTCAGGCTCTCCTCATAGGTCAACAATCTGTTACTAATAAAATGGGTAAATAAATGTTGCTTACAGTATATGGTTTTAAGAGATCACTGTTCCTTTAATCCAGTGACTGTGTGTTTCTAAGTCACACTTTTGAACAGCTGTAATTGCTAAGTATATTGAGGCTAGTAAAGTTATGAAGAGCTGGCAGGCACTGAACGCTGTCTGTAGCTTTAAGAACATATCATTACATAGGCTTCACTTCATATTTGACTGCAACCATTAGGAAGGGCTAGAAGCCATTTCATATTTAAGAAAAAGTTTAAATTCTTCAGAAATGTATATCTTGGGACTTTTCCCCCAAACTCAGGAAGAAAAGCTCATTTCCCACTTGCTACAGATTAGTAAGTGAGTTTTTTTCCCCCAAAATCAATTTATAGTGTAGGAGTGGCCAGACTTAGGGGGTGAAAGGTTAACCAGGCCTGGGTACGTCACAGGCAGGGGCAGTTCCAGTTTAACCGGGCTGCATTTCCCCCTCCCATCTCCCTGCTCCTCCTTTAATCAGTTACCCGGTTATACAGGATTTTACATCTCTAGGGCTATGTCTAGACTGCAAGCCTCTTTCGAAAGAGGCTTTTTCGAAAGAATCTTTGAAAAAAGCCTCTTTCAAAAGAGAGCGTCTAGACTGCAACCTCTTCTTTCGAAAAAGTGAGCCGCTTTTTTGAAAGAGAGCACCCAGGCAGTCTGGATGCTTTGTTTTGAAAAAGCCCTGTTTGCATTCAAGAACGACTTTTTTCGAAAACACTTTCGAAAAAAGGCGTTATTCCTCGTGAAATGAGGTTTACCGCCATCGAAAGAAAAACTGCGTTCTTTCGATTTAATTTCGAAAGAACGCGGCTGTAGTCTAGACGCAGCCTAGGATCTTATGTTGGTTTGACATTATTTGTTCTTGGCAAATCCATGTTGACTGTTACATATACTTTGCTGCTTTTAACGGAAAACTTTTCCGTTAAAAGCATTTCCGGAAAATCATGCCAGTGTAGACGTAGCCTTAGTGTGCGAAACGTCCACAGTGGCAGAGAGCTTTTTGTTCTCTCAGTGCAGTTTCGTTCTCGTTTCTTGACACCTGTGTGTCTCTCTCCGTGATGTGGGGGCAAACAAGCCTGTCTGTAAAAACAACACAGAGTTCTGTGTCACCTTAGAGACTAACCCATTTATTAGGGTGGAAGTTTTCGTGTGTAAAACCCGCTTCATCAGATGAATTGGAGCGGAAATTACAGAGGCAGGGGGGTGTGTATGTGTGTGTGTATATATATATATATATATATATAAAATACAACACGAAGACAGCAGTTGACTGAAACTTTAAACAGAACAATTGTATCTTTCCTCAATTTAGACATGAAGGCTACGTCTAGACTGGCCCCTTCTTCGGAAGAGGCATGCTAATTTCTAACTTTGGAATAGGGAAATCCGCGGGGGATTTAAATAAACATGGCCGCTGCTTTTTTTCCGTCTTGGGGAAAAGCCGGAAAAGAGCGTCCAGACTGGTGCGATCCTCTGGAATAAAACCCTACTTTCAAGTAGGAATAAGAGATCCTCCGGAATAGGGCTTTATTCCGGAGGATCGCGCCAGTCTGGATGCTCTTTTCCGGCTTTTCCCCAAACCGGAAAAAAAGCAGTGGCCATGTTTATTTAAATCCCGCGGAGGATATTTAAATCCCCCACGGATTTCCCTATTCCAAAGTTAGAAATTAGCATGCCTATTCCGGAGAAGGGGTTAGTGTAGACATAGCCAATATGCCTTTCAAAAGAGACCCATTTAAGGAAGAGATTAGCATAATATATGCCTCGCTTTTAGTGAAGTATGAAAAAGTTTTGATGTTTAACTGCTTTGTGCATAACTTAGAACCCTAAAAATAATCAATTTGTATTAGTAAAAGCAATGTGCTCTAATTGCACCTGTAGTGCTACTCCAGTTAAGATTCCCTCACTGTTTATTACAAACAAAAAGGGAGAGTTTAATCTTTCCCATTTTGAATCCTGTTTGGACAAAACTCTGGGTCAAGGCTGGAGTTCAAAATGTAAATCTTTCAAAAGAGATTGGATATTTTAAAAAAGTTTTCTACAGTAACTGCTTTTGAATAAAAATTGCAAAAAACAAAAAGCTCTGGTGGGCATATTTTCCATTTTAAATACTCCTTTGAGATTTAAATTTGAAAAATTTTAGCAGTTAAGCACGCATGCTTGAGAGCTCCTTTTCATAACATTTCAATGGGGTATTGATGTTGTCAAAAAGTAATATTTCTGCATTTCAAATGTAATTTTGTGCAATGAAATTGGATGTTGCAATTTGTTGCTAAGTTTTATTGTTACTGCATAATAAACCTTAATATACTGAATTGAAAGAGATTACAAAACCCTGCCAAGAAAACACAAGAGAGAAACACAATTATGATTAGGTACCAAAGTATGCTTAAATCTGATGTTTTTCTGTGGCCTACAAAAGCATGTCTTCCTCCCTCTCCCCCCTCCCCCCAACTCTTGCATAGTTTTATTTTTCTTGTGTCTTAATGTCCACCTCCATATCTATATTAGAATTCACTTTTTTCCAGCTGCAGTCCATCTTAATCCATTGCGAGACTTTACCCAGATCTTCTCCAGCTATGGAGCTCTGAAATTTTTGCAGGCCACTCTCTTCCAGGGTAAACTTTGCACTCTATGGAATTACACATGTAACCTTAGCAGTGCCCTACGTGCATGCACATGCTTTAAAATGCTCTTTATTATAACATCACAAACTTTTTTGTAAGGGAATTCTTTTCTTATTATAATGTTATGTTGTGCTGTGGTGAAGGCATAGGATTAGGATTCGGCAGTTCTAAAATCAGTTTCCAGCTCAGCAGGAGGGTGTCATCCTCCACAGGCCAGCTCCACATCCCAAGATGAGAGGAGCTTCAGGCGCAAGAGGCTGAGGTGGGGCAGGCAGCCTTCACACTACCAAGACCGCAGCATTCCCCCCCCCCCCCCCACCACCCACAGCGCACCTCCGAACAATACACA